TAATTTAGCTCGCACTATGCCTACAGATATGTTCTCTGGGATCTTAAGATGAAACATAAATTCATTCAAATGAACAGCATCCACTTCCAAGAGATTGATGCTGATATTATGAGACAGTGAAGTAGCTTTTAGTATTTATAGTAAAACAAAACCCTACGGGGAAGTACATCCAGGGAAGGATCTCCACTTCCACTACAGAAATTGGCACAGTCATTCGACAGAAATGCGATTCAATCCAAAACTGTGCTTTTCCAATTTCTACATAAAAATACCTAGAGTGGAAATGCCAATAAAATAAAGTAACATCTTGAAATATACTTAATTATCGTTTCAACACTTCACTGAGGTGGAAAAGTACGTATTTTCCACTATAGTATGATGGTTTTTAAACTAAACAAATGGCAATCTACTTCTTATTTACAAAGATTTGATCAACTCATGACTGTGAACTATGACCCTGCTGAAACACCATGAAATATATGGTTGTTAGTGAAAAATCTCAACAACAATGCTATGAATTGCCATGAAACTAGGTAAAAATGTTAACCCTAGCTCACAGAAAATATGCACCCCTCTATTTGTAATCCTTTTCATGTCACAATGGCATCATTATGGTCACTTGCTAGCTTCTGTCTTGCACCATTACCAGCTCAGACTCAAATCTTCATTTTCCATTTGGGGAATCTGGCTGTGAATGCAACACAGGACAATAGGTCATTGCAATCGACACGTTATAGGGAGAGACATCCATTGTTCATTCAGGGAAACCAGGGGCTGGTTTCTTTGGGAAACCCCACACTGCTAGTCTCAGAGTCCAACTCATCTGCAGAGGTGGGAAGTAGTGGAGTACAAATACTTCGTTACTGTACTTAAGTACATTTTTCTGGTATCAGTACTTTACTCCACTACGACTTTTTACTTTTACTTCTTACATTCTGAACACAAATACCTGTACTTTCTACTTCTTACATGTTGAACTCAAATACCTGTACTTTCTACTTCTTACATTTTGAACACAAATACCTGTACTTTCTACTTCTCACATGTTGAACACAAATACCTGTACTTTCTACTTCTTACATGTTGAACACAAACACCTGTACTTTCTACTTCTTACATGTTGAACACAAATACCTGTACTTTCTACTTCTTACATGTTGAACACAAATACCTGTACTTTCTACTTCTTACATGTTGAACACAAATACCTGTACTTTCTACTTCTTACATGTTGAACTCAAATACCTGTACTTTCTACTTCTTACATGTTGAACACAAATACCTGTACTTTCTACTTCTCACATGTTGAACTCAAATACCTGTACTTTCTACTTCTTACATGTTGAACCCAAATACCTGTACTTTCTACTTCTTACATGTTGAACTCAAATACCTGTACTTTCTACTTCTTACATGTTGAACACAAATACCTGTACTTTCTACTTCTTACATGTTGAACACAAATACCTGTACTTTCTACTTCTCACATGTTGAACTCAAATACCTGTACTTTCTACTTCTTACATGTTGAACTCAAATACCTGTACTTTCTACTTCTTACATGTTGAACTCAAATACCTGTACTTTCTACTTCTTACATGTTGAACACTAATACCTGTACTTTCTACTTCTTACATGTTGAACTCAAATACCTGTACTTTCTACTTCTTACATGTTGAACACAAATACCTGTACTTTCTACTTCTTACATGTTGAACACAAATACCTGTACTTTCTACTTCTTACATGTTGAACTCAAGTACCTGTACTTTCTACTTCTTACATGTTGAACCCAAATACCTGTACTTTCTACTTCTTACATGTTTTACTCAAATACCTGTACTTTCTACTTCTTACATGTTGAACCCAAATACCTGTACTTTCTACTTCTTACATGTTGAACTCAAATACCTGTACTTTCTACTTCTTACATGTTGAACACAAATATCTGTACTTTCTACTTCTTACATGTTGAACTCAAATACCTGTACTTTCTACTTCTTACATGTTGAACTCAAATACCTGTACTTTCTACTTCTTACATGTTGAACTCAAATACCTGAACTTTCTACTTCTTACATGTTGAACTCAAATACCTGTACTTTCTACTTCTTACATGTTGAACACAAATACCTGTACTTTCTACTTCTTACATGTTGAACTCAAGTACCTGTACTTTCTACTTCTTACATGTTGAACTCAAGTACCTGTACTTTCTACTTCTTACATGTTGAACCCAAATACCTGTACTTTCTACTTCTTACATGTTGAACTCAAATACCTGTACTTTCTACTTCTTACATGTTAAACCCAAATACCTGTACTTTCTACTTCTTACATGTTGAACTCAAACACCTGTACTTTCTACTTCTTACATGTTTTACTCAAATACCTGTACTTTCTACTTCTTACATGTTGAACTCAAATACCTGTACTTTCTACTTCTTACATGTTGAACTCAAATACCTGTACTTTCTACTTCTTACATGTTGAACTCAAATACCTGTACTTTCTACTTCTTACATGTTGAACTCAAATACCTGTACTTTCTACTTCTTACATGTTGAACACAAATACCTGTACTTTCTACTTCTTACATGTTGAACTCAAATACCTGTACTTTCTACTTCTTACATGTTGAACTCAAATACCTGTACTTTCTACTTCTTACATGTTGAACTCAAATACCTGTACTTTCTACTTCTCACATGTTGAACACAAATATCTGTACTTTCTACTTCTTACATGTTGAACACAAATACCTGTACTTTCTACTTCTTACATGTTGAACTCAAATACCTGTACTTTCTACTTCTTACATGTTGAACTCAAATACCTGTACTTTCTACTTCTTACATGTTGAACACAAATACCTGTACTTTCTACTTCTTACATGTTGAACTCAAATACCTGTACTTTCTACTTCTTACATGTTGAACTCAAATACCTGTACTTTCTACTTCTTACATGTTGAACTCAAATACCTGTACTTTCTACTTCTTACATGTTGAACACAAATATCTGTACTTTCTACTTCTTACATGTTGAACACAAACACCTGTACTTTCTACTTCTTACATGTTGAACTCAAATACCTGTACTTTCTACTTCTTACATGTTGAACCCAAATACCTGTACTTTCTACTTCTTACATGTTGAACCCAAATACCTGTACTTTCTACTTCTTACATGTTGAACCCAAATACCTGTACTTTCTACTTCTTACATGTTGAACCCAAATACCTGTACTTTCTACTTCTTACATGTTGAACTCAAATACCTGTACTTTCTACTTCTTACATGTTGAACTCAAATACCTGTACTTTCTACTTCTTACATGTTGAACCCAAATACCTGTACTTTCTACTTCTTACATGTTGAACTCAAATACCTGTACTTTCTACTTCTTACATGTTGAACCCAAATACCTGTACTTTCTACTTCTCACATGTTGAACTCAAATACTTGTACTTTCTACTTCTCTCATTTCCCAAACAGCTGGTTCCTTTAGTCTGAATGTGTGTTTGATGCGTGATCATTATTCTTTAGAGTCATTGCGTGCCTATTGATTTGAACACGATCCGTGTATCCATCATTTCCTGGTCTTCTCTAAAGAAGAAGGACCAATGGAAACGTTGTCATGTTGCCGTTGTTCAGCATGGAAACATTCATTAGCTAACAATGACATTATTGTTCTATTAATATAAAGGGAGGTCAGGTACTCTTTAAAACAGCTGCTAGCTATGGGTACTTTTTACTGAAGTACATTTCAATGTTTAGTCAGTACTTCTACTTTTAAATACGACTATCTGTACTTCTACTTGAGTAAAGGATGTGTGTACTTCTGCCAGCTCTGCTCATCTGCACACACCTAAGGGGAACCTGGGTAAACTATCTCTCCATTGGAGCCCATTAACGGTGAAAATGTAGAAGATTTAAAGAGCACAGAAGTGAAAGCATGGGGTGATGTGTAACAGCTCAGCAGGAATTGAAAAGTGGGACAACCTGAAGGGGAAATGTCCTTAATTTAAACCACAGTGATAATCAAGGAAGAGGATTCAAGCCGGGACCATTACTGGATTTCTGCAGCTGATATTAGAGAGTGAAATAATTTCCTGCAGTTCAGAAGGAAATGAAAAACAACGGAAAGATGTTACTTCAGTCCAGAGTTTCCAGTGTTTTCAGTCCAGAGCGGAAAACAACCATAGCTGAGCCGACCTGACATATGTCCAAATAACACATGGCAGATTCATGCTGGCTGTGCATAGGTAGGGATGCTGTAAAAGAGAATAATCAGGACAGATTTCCCCTGTTTATTTATTTGTGTATATTTCTGTGCTTCCTTTCATCTCCCGAAGAAGAAAAAAATAACTTCCAATCAACATGGGAACGTATCATTTTCTATCAATTCTCCACTTCTAATGGTGGTGCATTATCCACAGAGGCCAGATGTATTCCTCCTCCTCTTCATCTTCCTCCTCGTCTTGCTTTTCAGAAAAACCATGACAGGCCACATTACCCTGTGGGCCTCGATTAGAAAAGAAAGGGCTTTTATCCCTGCTGGCGTGACAAATGCATCACACATTGTTGGCCTCGGCACACATGTGGATCCGACAGCTAACGCCCATATGTTCGGTGTCCGAGGAACTCTGCAGGCCTCAGTGAGCAGCGGCTCCCGAGGGCCAGACGCACATCTTCAGTCTCACTTTCAGAATAAATGCGCTGTGAAATAATTAATCACGTCCTGTTTACCAAAACTCATCCACAGCACTCAAATCCCTCTGGCTACTGGCCTCAGGTTGTGCCGTCAGAAAGCATTGTTTGACACAGCTTTGCACTCTGTTAAACAACAACTTCATTCACCTGTGTCAAGACCAGAGAATGACCTTTGGACATCAGTTTCACCACATAGGGATATCATGGCGAAGAAGCGTTCATTTCTGTTACCACAGCGACTCAAACATTGACAATAGGCTACATGCACTAGGGTCATAGACGTACTTCCGCCTTAGCCGTTATACTGCTCGGACGCTTCCGGGTTGCTTCTGGTCTGCGTAGCTGAGCGTCCACAAATGTTTTACTGTTTAAATCTGTGGTTTAAATATGAGTCGACGGAAGATTTTCAAAACGGAGCATTTGCAAAGACAAGTAAAGAACTACTCCGAGCACTGCTGTGTCCCACTTTGTACGGCGTCAGCTAAATTCAACGGCGTCCTAAGTTTCCATGGCTTTCCGACCGAACTCGAGCTGCGAAGACAGTGGCTGGTTAAAATACGACGCGATAACTTTACAATCTCCTCTCACTCCAAGGTCTGCAGTCGTCACTTCGCTACGGATCAACTAATAGAGCCAAAAACCCTTGATGGCCGTAGGAGGCTTGTGAAAGGTGCTGTTTGAGTGGAATCACTTCACTGCTCAAACACCGCGGGCTAGTGTTTGGGAGAGAAGGGAGCGGCCCACTGAACCAGTCTCTCGGGAGGAGCAGGAAGAGCACATCGATGTCCGTGACCATGATTACTGCTCAACCCCTGAACCAGCTTCACTGGACATGTCCTCTCAAGCTACAGAAGACAACTCCAAAACAGTGGAGGATCTGCAGGAGTTAAGAGTCCAGCGAGAGTTTTGCTTACAGCGGTTTGCTGGCTCCGACGACAACATCCGATTCTATACCAGGTAATGTTATGGCTAAATTCTATCCAAGTTTTTGAGATGGGTTAGCTTATAAAGAATCCTGTTTACCTGCCGTTTGACTGCTGACTATTTGCATGCAGTGTTGGAATAAGTAGGCTACTCAACTTAACTGAAGTATAAGTACAAATACTATGGTTTGAAAATACTCCTGAACTGAACATGTAGAATCATAAATCATGTGTTTTCATAAGTAACTAGAAACTATGAAGGTTAACTAAATGTGGTGGAGTAAAACATACTAATACTAACAACATACTGATAATACTTTACTACAAGTGGAAATCTTCAAAACCTTACCAAAGTAAAAGTACATGTCAATATCCACTGCGTTTCTCCCAGTTGCACACTTAAAAATGAAGAGTAAAAGTAGTCATTCTGTGTCAAATGTTCCCTGTATGTTTTAGATTATTATTACTGCTGCTTTAATGTAGTTGTTACATGTTACTGCTGTATATTACTATACATGCACCAAGTGCCTTCTTAATCAGTCTATTTGAATTGTAATGTATTATAGCAAACAAGAGGAAAGCATTAGCCCATGTGTTACAGTTAACGAGTCAATTAATGACTGACATGTGTCTTTTGTGTACAGATTCCCGAGCTATAACCACCTGATGGCCTTCTGGTTTTGGATTGAGCCTTCCATTTATAAAATGGTTCGTGTTACAAGAGCGATATCAGCTGCCAAGAGGAATGAAGAAGTGGTTACACACGCACGTCCATCAACGGTAGGCTACGTTTCTTTTAACACACAATCTAAACACAAACTGAAGGGAAAATGTTTCTCCAACATTTCATTGCTTTCGTGTAGGCTAAAAGGCTATAGTACTCAATCCTTTTTGAATACATCAGAGAACTAAAACAACTTCATGTTTTTCCCATGGTGTGCTACACTCATGACATTAATATAGTACCCTTTTTTTGTTTATCTTCCAGAGACAGTGGCTTCAGCCAATTGACGAGTTCTTCCTTTTTCTCTGCTTCCTGTCGGTGGGTTTGAAAGAGAGGGACCTTGCAAACCGCTTCAACGTACACCAGTCCACTGTGAGCCGCATCATTGCAACATGGACGAGTTTTCTTACAACTTTATTGGGGTCACAGTGCATCTGGCTTACACCTGCAGAAGTTCAAGCCCACCTCCCAGAGGCATTCAAAGATTTCCCAGACACACAGGTGATCCTGGATTGCACAGAGCTGAGGTGTCAAACACCATCCTCACTCCTCCTCCAAAGTGAAATGTATTCTACATACAAATCTCACTGCACCATGAAAGCCCTGGTTGGCATAGCCCCACATGGCGCAGTGACATTTGTTTCCAGTCTGTATGGTGGTTCTGTCAGCGACAAGGAGATTTTCAAACAATCTGGAATAGCTGCGTTGTTGACTGAAAACATGGCAGTGATGGTAGATAAGGGCTTCCTGATCAGCGATTGCTGCAAATGCCAGCCTATCAGGTGAGGGAGACACAGGCCATTGCCAGACTGAGGGTTCATGTGGAGCGTGTCATTAGGAGGATACAAGAGAACAAACTTTTTGATGGTGTCATCCTCCTGTCCCATGCCTACAACATCAACCAACTGTTTGCAGTAGCATGTATGCTGTCAAACTATCAGAACAAAGCACTGGTCAAGAAATGGGTGAAATAAGACAAGATGATGACACCTGTGCAGGTAGCTGTGATTAAGCTGGGTGAGCACACCGTAATCCCGTGTTGCCTGACACACGCTAGTGTTTTGTTTGAATAAATGGTAAATAGCAAATTACAATGCGTTGATGATTTCTTACAAATGCAATGATTTACTATTCATTACACAAATCACTTTATTGTCTTTTTAAATACAATTGTATATTTATTTACATATATGAAATGTGACAAACAATATATATCAAAAACAAAATATTGAAATCACATTTTGTTGTCATTCAGAACACACGATTGAGGGATTGCCTCCTAAAAACAATGACGGCGGAGCCAGGGTCTAGCAGCTAACTGCTTACAGAGTTAACAATGGCTACAGTGCCCACTACTTTTTTAATGACAGGTACTTCGGCATGTATGTGTAAAAAAAAAAAAAGTCTACTTTTTCTCTGATTGCTTTTTGCACTTCTGGATCTGTGTATATTCTTTGCACCAGGTAGTCCTCTTGTGCCCACACTACAAAATCACACCACTGCATCCCAGATACAATAAGTTGACCCTGTACTTGCCAGTAATAGGCATGGCTTTTCTTGAGCTTAGGGGAGCCACATTCTATCTGCACATATTTTCAGTCGACATAATTTGGGACATTGGGACATTTGAATTCAACAAGGCCAAATTGGGGATATTCTGTTGGGTCAAACAACTCCATCAGGGGAGGCACCAATCCAGGGCGTAGAGGGGTGAATGACAAGGCCACAAGGGGAGTAGTTCACGTTTGCCAGTCTACTGTATTCAGCTGCTTCTGTGGGCTCCATCTCGGCACCTCTCCTCATTTCTGCAGTCTGCCTTGTACCTTTGAGTATTCGCTCTGCAAGAGAGTTAGCAGAGCTCTCACCTCTGACGTGACAAATCTCTCTAAACCTAGAGGCAGTAACCCTGGGTTTGCGGAGCAGATGCCACTCTGAGCTAGAGCTTTGCTCACGGGTAGCCTCCTCAATTTTGTGAGACATTTCCAAATCAACAGATAAGCTGTTCATATGTAGTTGCTCCTCTTCTGAGCACACCAGCGGTAAATCACATGGCAAGATCACATACCCCTCTATGGGCAAGTGGGGTGTTGGTGGTGTGTCAGTGTGAAGTGTGGTGTACCGAGACGTCAAAGCAGGCATCTGATAGGACAGAACACTGCCCTCCTGCACAATCCCGAAGGCACTTTCCACAAGGGGCTTGTCAGGTCTCATGTTCATTGTGGTCACAAGCGGCCTGTCTTCAATGCTGAATGCTGAGTATGCCTCCGTAACTCTGAACAGGCAGGGATCTGGTAATGGCCCCACCATGCCTCTGTAGAATCCACTCCTACAAAGAATGGCAAAGACAATATAGCACATATTAATGTGACAATAAAGGTTAGGAATACAGCACCAGAATTATGAATTTTAAAAACACAGGAAACACAATTTTCCAGCTAAAATTACCTTACTCCAGTCTGCACCATCCTATTTGGTACAGGCTTGGTGAAGACCATGGAGTTGATGGGCCCTGGCTTCACACCCTTAAGGAAAAGACAATTACTGTTCGTTGAGTCACTTTAAAACAAAAACTCTGTAAAAGATTACAAGTATTTGAACCTCATTGAAATTACCATTGTTCGCGGCTTGTGCCATTGCTGTTCCGATTCAGTACAGCTATGCACAGGTGGCACAACTGGCATGTTCAGTTCAGTGTAGGGTGCTGTTTGGAACAGCAATGCTACTGTGTGATTGCACAACACAGGAGCACTGGTTGTGCGTGAGCACCACTGGTGATGAATCACGAAGCGTTATCTAAAAAAGAGAGAAGAAATACTAGTGATTAGTAACCTCACTTGTTACTATGAGCCAGGAGGTTATTATGAGTAGAATTATTGGTTATTTTTACTGACCCATTATCCTAGAAGAAGCATGTATTCCTGAATGCTTAGTGTTACCCTCTTACCCTACAATACCACAATGAACTTTCTTTGGAAACTAAGATGCCTTGAAAATTGTATTAAAGCAGTTTTGACTATATATTTTAACCCCCAAACTTACACATCCATAATCAATGTAATAATATCTGACCAATCAGCTGTGATAAAGCAGGGAGAAGTAGGACACTGTTGAGATTCCCTTAAGGTAAACTAATGTTTAACAATTTGTCCAACAGTGAGGCATTGTTTGCGGCACATCTTCCGGCGCAAACTGAAAACTCATCTCTTTCGACTCCACTTCGAGCGTTAGAACTATTAACGAAGCACTTTTATACTAACAAAGGACTGGCTTACCTAAAGCCAGTTGAGTAGCACTTGAAATGTTTGGCTCTATGAAACCTGATGTACTTATATGATTCTGTTTTCTTCAAGGTTGTGTCTTCCTGGTAGAATGTACTTATTGTAAGTCGCTTTGGATAAAAGCGTCAGCTAAATGTAATGTAATGTAACTGAACTGAAACTCAATAAACAGGGGGGAACAGTGTCAATGCTGCCTGCCTACACTCAAACTGTGTGCTGTCTCGCTCTTCCGCATTGACCTGTAGCACAAGGCTCTCACGCTGACCTGCCAGCCCGTCTTTATTGGACACTGAATGAAGAAAAACAGAGCAACAGCGTTAGATCTATACTCACGTCAACACATCTATGGCAACATTGCTTTACAAAAGCTGATACCATTATGCAGTGTGGCTAACAACAAGACAACCTTGGCTAGGCTATAAGGCTATTAAACGATAGTATTTGTTAGCAAAATGGCTAATGTTTTAAATAATTAACACCAGAAACAGTACATAGCGTTACCCAGAGCCCTATAGTAGTCTACTATAGTAGTAGTATAATAATAATAATAATAGTAGTTATACTATAGGGCTCTGGCGTTACCTAGCTTTTGACAGCTAATGTTAGCGTAACCCGGAGCATAAGCTAGCTGGTTAGTACCGGTTACCTTCTTACCTTCATAGTTGTGTATATATGACGCAGCATATAATTTGAAGCCTTTATCGAGTTTGCTGGCTGGGGCTTTAGTCGTCCGGCAAATCCGATGAACATCTGACATTTTTAATTTCGGAAGCTCTTGTAGGCAGCGGGTGTAGAAGGTCGTCATTTTCAAACAGGAAATGAATCGGCCGCTATGAGTAGAATGCGGAAGTGACTGTGCATGTAGCCTATTAAGCTCATTTTAAGGTTGTATTTAGTGTCTCTACTGTGACATGTTTCTATGTCCAAAAAAGTGCTGAAACTCCCTAAGTAGGGAACTTTGGGATTTTAGCCTTTGCAGACCATTTATATGCACTAAAACCTAAATAAGACACTGCTACAGGAAAGGGAAAACCCCAAAAAGCATAATAAAGCCTCTTTAAGACTACCAATTCACAAAGCTTTGTGTTAGAACAATTTGTCCAACAGTGAGGCATTGTTTGCGGCTCTAAAAACAAAAATATTTAGGAGCCTATGGTCAAAGAAGCCCGTCTGAAGCGTGAATCAGAGACGTAGCGAACTGAAAATATACTAATCGTTGAATTTGTGAACAAACCATGCTGCAGTGTCATTAATTTGTGAAGTAAATGATATCCAGAAAGCTGTTCAGATCACTTTCCTGTATATAGTTCACTTGTCTTACACCAGTGGAACAAATAAGAGTTTGCACACGTCACCACAGCCTGTTCAGACATGCTTTAAGTCACAGTTATGGGTGATGTATCAGTTATGGATCCACAGGAATGTTTTCTGCACACTGTAATCCATCACTCCATATTCTGCTGCTCTGCTACAGCCCCATGTAATCACACATATTGTCATGCATGACCTCTCCGTGTCAGCATGGATAAAAGCCCTGCAGCCCACATTGACTTTGGTTGTTCCTGGAGAATCTGCTGTTACAGTCCTGCAGCGATGGCAGAGCGCCTGTTAATATAGTCTCATGTAACAGAAAGGAGCTAGTTATATTCCTGCATATTGGGAAACATTTTATCCTTTGACCCTGCCACTAACGGAGGTTTCATTTTCTCTTTCAATCCATAAAAAAGTAGAAACATTACTGGTTGATAGAAACTTCCACTCAAAGTGATAGACTAGGGGCGGGACATCTCTAAGCGGTTGACCTATCACAACAGAGATGTCCAGCTAACCAATCAGAGCAGACTGGGCTCTGGTTTCAGACAGAGGGTGAAAAGAGAATGACCAAATGAAAAAAAATAAAGAGCTTTTTGAACATTAAAACACAGAAGAGGCACTAGAGCCTAATATACACCTGAAAATGAGAACAACATGTACTCTAGCTACAGAAACTACAGAAAAGCAAGTTTACGGAAACATCAAGTAGCTTATAATGATGCCATGAGAATATTGCTGAAGAGACCTCGATGGTCTAGTAGTGCAAGTGAAATGTTTGTGGCTGCAGGAGTCAATACTCTACAAGCTGTTTTAAGAAATCTCATGTATAAATGTATTTGCCGGCTTAATGACTCTGATAATGAAATCCTCTTGGCCTTATCGAACATAAGGTTTAGTACAATCATAGCTGTGGAGACATTGGTATCTCTTTGTCGGACACTGATTTAAATTATTCTTAAACTATGAATTATTTTTATGCTGTGTATGTAATTTATTATATGTAATGTCTTGTCTTTTATCTGGACCCTGAGTCTGTAATAAAGTTTTCATTCATTCATTCTAGAAGTTGCCAAATGATGGAAAACAATGGGGCAAACTTGCAATAGCTCCCTAACGCCATAGGTGCCACTAAAGAGAACAGAATGTATATCTGTGAGGTTGTAACTCTAAAATTAAACAACAGGCAATAAGCATGCAGTACCAAAGCTATGATACATGTCATAGCAGAAAGGGGGGTGCACATTGGCACATCATCTGAATGTGCGTGTGAGAGTGAGAGAGAGAGAGAGAGAGAGAGAGAGAGAGAGTGTGTGTGTGTGTGTGTGTTTCCAGCCGCACCACACGTTGGTACAGAGACACATTTCCCCAGGCACACACACAAAAAATGGTTGATTAGTGAAAAATGTCAAAACTGCTGTGGAGCGCCAGAAAAATCAAACCGAGCTGAAGGACTTTAATGATTTACATAAGAAGCTCTCTCAACTAAGTTTGAATGAAGTCGATGAAATGAATTTGTTAGCGGGGGTTTATTTACTTAACATTCGAGAGAAATGTCATCAGAGCTAACATCACTTTGAAAACCACTCGACGATCAAACAGAGGAAGAACAATCTGACGGACAACAGCTCAAATGTAGTGAAAACTCATTCTAGGGCTGTACCCGAATATCCGTTCGTTGGAGTACTATTCTGGTTTCAATTTCGTTATTCGGATATTCGTTTTTTCCCCATTTTAAAAAAAAAAAAATTGAATTTATTGAAATCTCCAATATCAACGTAAGAGCTCGTGCCTCTTTGGGGGGTGCTAACACTTAACCATAAACGTTATCGTTTACTTTCTCCGTCTTTATATGTAGATATTACTTTTCTCCCTTAATCTCCGTCAGGTTGTTTCCATAGCAACAACAACTTCCTGTCAACAGCGCTACCTCTCCTTCAAAATAAAAGCATGTCCATATAGAGTGGCGGTTGAGCTCCATGGGACCTTATTTCGGAAAAGTTATGCATTGAAGTCAATGGAGAGAGAAAGATTATCTTTTGATCCCGTTTGAATTGTGCCAGGAATTACACATATGATGTTTGTCAATCTTAAATAATAATTTCCACGTCAAAAAAGTCACAGTTTGTCGTAAAACTGTTGAAATATAAGAATATGAAAAATACGCAACTAAAAAGACTACAAATCCCAGAGTCCCGGTCCCGCATGCTGGCTCTCACGGAACCGACTAACTTCCCTTGTGTGTGTGTACAGCTCTCAACGCGCCCAGACTTGGAGTGATTTTCACCTCGTTTAATACTTTCTGCCTCATTCTGAAAGAAAGAAGTGAAATGTTTCAACGTGACGGTGTGTGGTGTGTGGTGCGAGGCGGGAGATGTAGTTCATTGAGCGGTTTCACACCAAAAAAACACACACATTTTTATTTTATTGACTTGCAAAATGATCTTTTAAATTGACAAACATCATATGTGTAATTCCTGGCACAATTCAAACGGGATCAAAAGATAATCTTTCTCTCTCCATTGACTTCAATGCATAACTTTTCAGAAATAAGGTCCCATGGAGCTCAACCGGAAGGGGAGGGACTTCGCCACTCTATAGACATATACAAAAGTAACAAACACAATGCGATATCCTTTTCAATTTCAAATTAGGTTACATTAACAAATAACTATAAAACAACAATACTGTAGAATAACAAAATGAATGCCGTGAATACACCGAAATATGTGTTGAAGCAGTTCGCTGCTGGCCGAATATTCGCTGCTGATTACTACCGAATATCCGGAGCCCGAAAAATGGTATTCGGGACAGCCCTAACTCATTCTACTGAACTTTTGAGATTCTTATTTCACCAGCTCAGTTTCTATATTCTCTAAAGTCAAGTGAGCGAGGTGCCAGCCTTAAATATGAGATTGTGCGGTAACAACACCGCCTCTGGAACAACAGTCTCTAACGGTCACAACTGGGGTTTAACTCCAGCAACATCTCCTGCCCCAAATACACGTTTGAATAACTAAAGACAGCATCTGCTTCCCCGGCTAAAAATGATGTTCAGTTTGACCCACATCTGTGCTCTCTATAAAAGCGGATCATTTGACCGCCTTTCCCTCTGGCAGACCCTTCAGATCCGACTAATTATATCCTCAAAAAGTACAATAAATATGTCTGTAAAGCACCATATGGGATGCAAGCACTGCTTTAGTTTGACATGAATAAAGCCACATAGCAAAGAGAAAGCAGAATAGTGAAGCTCCATTAGATGAAGCTTCACAGTTAGGCATTCAATTTAACGCTGTAACACTTTCCGCTGCACTGTGTGAGAAGAAAATGATGTGAAATGAACTTGAAGGGGGAGAAAAAACACATTGAGGAGACATTGTCAAGGAAGAAAGAAGTTTGAACCTGAAATACTAAAACTAATACTAAGAAATAATTGGACATTTTGGAAATGATTTGCCTTTATAGTTAAGAGGATAAGATGGATTCCACTTCTACCAACACACTGGCTCCATTCTGTGAGCCATTGTTTTACTTCTTAACTCTTCTTAAAAATAGGAAAGTACGGTGGCCAACAAGCACTACAACTTCTTTATTAGTTTAGTTTATTTATTATTTATAGTCTTTGTATTTGGAGCGTTTTGTCTATGCATCGTTTTAGTAAAATACTGCGCAACTTTCATCAAGTTAGTGAGTGTTCTCTAAAAGCTTCAGACACATGAAGCTCAGCGTAAGTTCAACCAGGAAGACCGTCTCTACTCTTCATTTTCTATTCCCACATTCCTTTACTACTCTCTCTCCTCTCAATAAGTGATCGGGGGCGTCACTCTACAGCTTAACCAATCACTTCGCTCTATTCCCAAGAGCCTATCATAGCGCTCCGCCAAACCTTTTAAGTCTGCTCTCCCCTCTGACAGCTGTCATTTCAGGTGACTCGATGCACCCCTTTTCACCTCCTGTCCCTCTGAATCCAGGGTCAAGCTAAGCCCCTCCCCTTCAGAATGAACCCAACTATCCATTCACCACCACCAGGGTCAAGCTAAGCCCCTCCCCTTCAGACTGAACCCAACTATCCATTCACCACCACCAGGGTCAAGCTAAGCCCCTCCCCTTCAGAATGAACCCAACTATCCATTCACCACCACCAGGGTCAAGCTAAGCCCCTCCCCTTCAGAATGAACCCAACTATCCATTCACCAACACCAGGGTCAAGCTAAGCCCCTCCCCTTCAGACCGAACCCAACTATCCATTCACCACCACCAGGGTCAAGCTAAGCCCCTCCCCTTCAGACCGAACCCAACTATCCATTCACCACCACCAGGGTCAAGCTAAGCCCCTCCCCTTCAGACCGAACCCAACAACCATTCAACACCACCAGGGTCAAGCTAAGCCCCTCCCCTTCAGACCGAACCCAACAACCATTCAACACCACCAGGGTCAAGCTAAGCCCCTCCCCTTCAGACCGAACCCAACAACCATTCACCACCACCAGGGTCAAGCTAAGCCCCTCCCCTTCAGACCGAACCCAACCAGTGCAGTGGGTTTTTTACA